GATGTGGTTGTGGGGTGTGTGGTGTGGGGAGTGGTTGTGGGTGGTGGCGGTGATTTGTGGTGGCAGTGATGTGTGGTGATGTGTGGTGGTGGGGGTGTGTGGTTGTGGTGGCGGTGTGTGGTTGTGGTGGCGGTGATGTGTGGTTGTGGGGGTGTGTGGTTGTGGTGGCGGTGATGTGTGGTTGTGGGGGTGTGTGGTTGTGGTGGCGGTGATGTGTGGTTGTGGGGGTGTGTGGTGGCGTGTGTGGTTGTGGGGGTGTGTGGTTGTGGTGGCAGTGATGTGTGGTTGTGGGGGGTGTGTGGTGGCGGTGATGTATGGTTGTAGGGGTGTGTGGTGGTGGGGATGTGTGTGGTGAGTGTAGTGAGTTGTACGTGGGTTTGAGGAACCTTCTGGTGCCACCTGCTGATGGTGAGTGCCAAGGTAGTATAGGCTGGTTACCCCCGGGTGCCAGCCTGGCCTTCGTCTCCGTCGCCAATGCCAGTGTGTTGCGTCTTGGTCGACATAGAGGTTGGCTCTCTGTTGGAGACCAGTGTGGTGGTGGTGGCCTTGCTGTTAATGTACCACCAGCTGTGAAAAAAAACGTTCACCCATCTACCTGTACAGTGTGTTGCTGCGTTGATAAAAAAGGTACTATTATATTGGTGCTTAAACAGTACTTAGTTACCGTGGTACTGTCATCAAGGACCTCCTGGGGTGATATATACCGGTGCTTCGTCGTGGTAGGACCGAGGGGAGGGAGGCGGGGGAGGGGGGGGTATATAAAGAGGACACACGAAAGTAAAAAGTCCCCCTAAAAGTCCCTGAACAACTGGTGAATGGGTCGGCCTGATGGTAGGAATCCAGAACAACTTGCGTGATTTCAGGGATCATCTAGGAAGCTCAGTAGCTGTCTGAGTCGGGGTAGGGGAGAGGGGGGAGGTGGTGATTGAGAAAGAGAATACCCCATCCCTCCTCCACACTTCCCCCTCCCCACCCCACCCCTGAAATCGACTCCATATCTCCAAAGTGCTGTGGTACGGTGAGGAGACTTAAGAAATGCGGTGCTGGGAGGGGATATCTAATATTGCTGTGTATTGTGGTTATTAAATCCGTGTTGTGATGCTGTGAGTGTTGCAACGACCACAGCGAGAACTGTTAAGTGGTTAATGGGGAGAAAATTTTACGATTTATGAAGACGTTGATCATTAAGCTCACCACTCTCCCTGAAGCAACTCCCACATCCTCTCACATCCCTCCCACATCCTCTCTCAACCTTCCACATCCCTCCCACATCACCTCAGACCCTCCCACATCCTCTCACACCCTTCCACATCCCTCCCACCCTTCCACATCCCTCCCACATCACCTCAGACCCTCCCACATCCTCTCACCTCCCATCCTCTCCACCCTCCTCACATCCTCACACACCCTCCCATTATCCTCACACCCTCCCACATCATCCTCCTGCATCCACCCTCCCACATCCTCTCACACCCTCTTACATCCTCACACTCCTCAGGCCCTCCATTCTCTCACCCCACATCCCTCCCACATCACCTCAGACCCTCCACATCCCCTCACCCCTCCCACATCCTCTCACACCCTTCCCATCCCCTCCCATCACCTCAGACCCTCCCATCCTGTCACACTCTTCCCATCCTCTCACACTCTTCCACATCCTCTCCACATCCTCTCCCCTCCCACATCCTCTCACACTCTTCCACATCCTCTCATGCCCTTCCACATCCCTCCCATTGCCCACATCATCTCAAACCCTCCTCTATTTTTCACACATCCCCTCACACCCCTCTCACATCCTTTCCCACGCCCTCCTATCACCCATCCCACACCCTCCAGTTCACTTCCACATCCTCCTCCACCTCATCACACCCCTCCCACATCCTTGGTACACCCATTCCCACATCCTTGCCGCCTTTCTACATCTTCCCGGCGTTAATGAAGCAGTAGTGTGTGTGTGTGTGTGTGTGTGTGTGTGTGTGTGTGTGTGCGCGCGCGTGTGCGTGCGTCTATCTCTCTACATCTCCATCTTGCTGTCTGTCTGTCTGTCTGTCTGTCAGTATGTTTTAACTATGTCTATCAATAAATCTATCTCTGTCTATCGCTATCTGTCTTTTTATCATATCTGTCTGTCTTATTATGTGTTTATTTATCCTTCTCTTTCACACACACACACACACACACACACACACACAAGGTGACTATAGACGGGTATTTTGGGCGGTGGTGGCGGCGCTCGTAATGGTGGTGGTCACAGGAGATCGCCAGGCTTAATGTACTGTCTGTGTCTGTCTGTCTGTCTGTCTGTCTGTCTGTCCGTCTGTTTCGGTCGTTACTAAGTGGGTGAAGCAAGGTATACTGTCCCGCCCGTCCCTGCTGACCTGATGATGGTGATGATCGATAGTGTTGGTGGTGTTAATGGTAATGACTGATGATAGTGTTTGGTGATGACTGATAAGTGTTGGTGATAATGGTGGTGACTGGTGATGACTGATAAGTGTTGGTGATAATGGTGGTGACTGGTGTTGGTGATGACGGATAGTTAGTGATGATAGTGATGATGTGGTAGACTAAAAAAAGTGATGAACATGAAAGCATCGTCATAACACAGAATGATATATTTTTAGACAAGAATCGTTCGTAAAGTTCAGCATGACGTAGATCTGTCTCTGTCTGTCTGTCTGTCTGTCTGTCACTGTCTGTCTGGCAATGTGTACCCTACTGGTATGTCTGCGTCTATGCCAGTAGCTGTGGTGTGAGTGTGGTGAGCCCTTGATGTGGTAGTCACGTGCTGTGGGGTGACCTTTGACCCGCTGGTGTGGTGGTCAGGTCAGGGAGTAGCGCTTATGGTGGTGGGGGTTGTGTTTGTGGTGTAGTGTGGGAGGGGCAGTGACGGAAGAGGGGGGGGTAAGGGGGTGGTGGGAAAGGAGGGTGTGTGGAATGCCAAAGGGATGGTAGGGGGCAGGGGGTAAGGCGCAGAAGGGTCGACTATGGGTGTTGACGTAACCTTGGTATGATGGCGTGTGTGTGTCAGCCTGCCACACTGACGCTACAAATATATACGTTAATGATGATGATGATGATAGTACTGATAATGAATATGGTAAAAATAAGAATAAAAATACTACTACTACTACTACTACTACTACTACTACTACTACTACTAATATAATAATAATAATAATAATAAAAATAATAATAATAATAATAATAATAATAATAATAACAACAACAACAATAATGAGTAAAATTATTGTATTGTTATTATTATTATTGTTATTATTAACGGTATTATTTTTATTAGTAGTAGCATCACGTAAAGCTTAAGTCATCCCAGTTTATTTAACGCTTAAACACCGTCACGCTACTTAGGTTAGGTAAACTGTAAGGTGTTTAATCATCAGGTGAAATAAGCTGGGGTGCCTCATCTTCACATGATCCTTGCAGCATTAATAGTGGCAATGGTGAGAATATTGATGCTGATAATAGTATGGTGTTGATGTTATGGTGAATGTAACAGTGAAAATGATAATCACCATAAGTTTATTTAACGATGTACTGTAGCCTACTGAACATAACTACGGAAATTGTGCTGTAGTGTGTGTTGGGGGGAGGGGGGGGGGTGTCAACTCTCCGGTCTTAGTCTTCGCCTCTCATTTGCTTCCTAGTTACTGGCACCTCACCTCTGGCACTCATATCCCCCCCCTGGTGTGTTTCTTTGTTATTGGCACTCTCAGTCCCTCATCTCACTTACGGTGCTCAGGTGTTTCCATAATTGTTGGCATTTTACATTTGGCACTCGTTTGTGGTGAATCAAAAGTGGCTCCGGTGTGTTATTGTCATTGGCACTTCACATGGAGCACTCAGACACGTCTCCTAGTTCCTGGCATCTTAAATGTGGCACTCAGATGTACCTCCTATTTACTGGCATCTTAAATGTGGCACTCAGATGTACCTTCTATTTACTGGCATCTTAAATGTGGCACACAGATGCACCTCCTATTTACTGGCACCGCATCTGTGGCACTTGTAGGCCCGGCACTTAAGGGTTGTCGTGTACGTTACTTCAAGTCATAAAATCTGTTGTGGTTTGCCCTCCTCCACAAGGGTCCCGACGGTAAAGCTTACACAGGGGGGGTCGCGTGCTTGTGGTCTACGTGAGTCATGGTGTGAGGTGGGGTGTGCGCGCTGGGTGGGCGGGCGGGTGGGTGGCTGGCTGATTGGGTGGCGCTACTGACACACGGGAATTACCGGGTGACGGGGAGCTACCGGTACGTACCTCCCCCTCCACCCTACCCTCCCATCCCATCTCTTCCTTCCTCCCTCCCTCCGTCCCACCTCCCCTCCCAGGCTCCAATACGACCCCTCAGTTGCGTTCATCAGTGCTTGTGTGAGTGGACGATGGCTGACCGTAGAGAAAGAAACATTGTCTCACATTTCCCACCAGAAAATGAAGAGAAAAAAATATCAAACCTCGGGAATCAGGTGACTTTTTTTAGCGTGGCACAACAGACATCAGTGATTTTTAACCCGGAGAAGTGGGTGACCTTTGAACCTTTGGACGTCACCAGCACAAACTATTTCCTGGCCCCAGTGAGAGAAATCTATCCTTACATATAGAAACATTAGAATAAATAATTAAATCAGAAAAAAAGGACATTGTAACAAGAATAAAATTTAATACGTAACAAAAAATACGACTAATATTTTTTTGACACTGTGATAAAGAAACGTAATGCGAGGCTGTGACGTTGAAGGACCTCTACTGCGTGTGTGTGGAGGGTGCTGGACACGCTACTGACGAAGGGGCACCGTCATGAGAACCAGTGTTGTGAGGGAAGCCGTGCCACCTGTGTATTGACCACCCTCTAAGGACCTCCACCCCCTGTGTTTGTCTGTCTGTCTGTCTGTCTGTCAGTCACCTTACCACCACACTCACACTCTCCTGTTAGTTGTGGTGATTGTGACAGTAAAGTGGTGAACAGGGATTGTGCACCTCCGTCATGCCTAACACCTGGTCTTGTGCCTCCTCGCCCACCCACGCCCACACACACTCATCCAGCAGGTACAACCCCCACATAGAGACTGGTGTGGAAGTGGGTGTGGGTGTGGGCGTAAATGTGGGTTTCGAAGAGGATTGTAACTGGACTCCCAACCCCGCCTACGTCGCGCCCATGAAGCGAATATCTTCCTCCTACCGCCTTCACTGTTACAAGGTGAAGGCTAAGTGTGTACGTTGTCTTGTTCTCGTGTAAAATATTGCTTTTGTTAGTTTGTGTGTGTGTGTGTGTGTTGTTTTTCTTCATAACTTTAAGTACACCTACACCCTCACAGTACACCTACACCCTCACAGTACACCTACACCCTCACAGTACACCTACACCCTCACACCATTGCTTGAGCCTCACTGTAGTCATCATATTAGATCACTTGAAGATTACACATCCCAGCTTATTCCACCTGAAGCTTACACATCCCAGCTTATTACACCTGAAGATTACACACCCCAGCTTATTACACCTGAAGATAACCTCACTAACACTACTTGGAGGATTGGTTAGGTTAGGTTGAAATTGGTTAGGTTAAGTTAACATTGGTTAGGTTAAGTTAACATTAGGATGAAATAAGTTAGGGTGTCTAATCTTCAGGTGATCCTTCATATAAAAATAATACAGTAAGCTAACAACACTATCGTCACCACCTACTAACCTAACCTAACCAAGACCTCCATCGAAATTATTAACGGCGTGACCTTCAGTGACCTCATATGACCTGCATGCCAAAGAAGTTAAAGAGGGAGGGGGTGAGTGAGCCAGGTAGCTGCTGTGGGAGGGTGGGGGGAGTGGCGTGGGAGGTGGTGAGCCAGGTAGCTGCTGTGGTAGGGGGTGACGGAGGAGGTGGTGAGCCAGGTAGCTGCTGTGGTAGGGGGTGACGGAGGAGAAGGTGAATAATTATGTTACTGTTTGGACATAGAAAACAAAGTGATTTCTCTCTATGATATAATTTAAAAAGGTACTGAAGTGTTTATTGTTATTGTTGTTAGTTATTTATATAATTGTTTTGTATAGTAAGAAGCATATTGGTCGTTAATGCTTCTCAGAAATAAGAAATACACAAAAAATGTTCCCTGAGTTTATTTTAAAGTTGGCAGTGTCTCTCGTGGCTGAGTCAGTCTGCTTAACACCATCTTTGTTATTATTTATTTATTTTAACTATCCTTGTTGGCAGGTCTAATATATAGTTATGATTTAATTTATATATAACCCAATTTTCGTTTCTGAACTTCCATTACTATAAATGATTATCTTAGGTAATATTATTGTTATAGATAAATATACTGTACATATATACATCGTTGTAGTTGGGAAATATTTTACCTCGTTATTGATATACAGGTGAGAGGCGGACGGTCCTGCACACCTGAGTCAGAACACACAACAAAAAGTATACGTGTGTAGTGAAAATATGTCAAAGGTGTGAGAGAGAAAAACAGAGCGGAAATATACACACACACACACACACACACGCACACGCACACGCACACGCACACGCACACACACACACACACACACACTGCCATTTTTTCTCTTAATTCTTTTAATGGATTTTCCTATTATTGTTTCTTAAGTATTTGCTAAATCATCATAATACAAAGAGAACTGTTCATGTATAGTGAATTCAATATACAGTTAGAAGAAGTAGGTTTATTTATTGATTGGTTTTAATGTAGTTGGTTTTAATGTTTGGTTTATATTATTATTAAAACACTATAGTTCATGGTTTATTATTAAGTACTGTGTGACGAAATTGTGGTTTTATCTGAACAGTTGATTTGGATAATTTCTTCATAACTTGTCCTCTATTTCCTATAGTCATTTACCAAAGGTCAGGGGTCATGTTGTATCCGTCTCTGGCCCACGTTGATCTATTACCTCCTCTGTACACCTGTTGGTGTTGTGTATGTCTCTCTGTCTGTCTGTCATTTCATCTAAAGGTGTAATTAATGTATAAAACTAAGTCACTATACTGTCTGTTGGTCCATAATGTAGTCTTGAGTAAATAAAGTAAAATTGTTATTATTATTATTATTATTATTATTATTATTTTTTTTATTATTGGAGGAGGTGGGTTCACATCTCTCTTATTCGCCTTAGAAAAAATGTTGTGTATGTTAATTATGTAAGTGAAAAATCAATAATTTACACCGTTTACTAATGCTGTTGTTGCAGGGGGCTGGTTGGGGGAGTATGTGGCCAGGTTGAGTGAGGTGGCCGCTCATCACCTGCGGGCCCGTCCTCAACTGGCTGGAGCTTGACAATCGCGGTCATCGCCTCATAGTCACCGATGACTCGGATATCAACACCCCCGCCGTCGCCGCTGCCTATGTCGTCAAGCGCTACATCGCCCAGGCCTCCGACGAGATATCCTTTGAGGTGAGTACCCAACCACCCTGTACACTGCAGATAAATCTTTAAGAGGTATTTTCAGGGGTTCAGACGTGTGTGTGTGTGTGGACCTAAAAACCAGTGTCGTGTCAACTCCTGAACTTCAATATTTACCCCCAAAAATTCAGGTATTGGAGAGTTATAAATATCTCCCCATAACACCTGTTTTATTTTTCACACACACACACACACACACACACACACACACCTGTAGTAAAAGTGTATTTACTTTGGTATATCGTCATTACAAGCTAAAAAGATTCCCCCAAGGCTTGTAGTAACTTTGTTTGTTGGTTTATATACGGTGTTTTCAGAGTTTGTTTGTTTTATCTTAATGGGAGATCTTCAATTGGTTTATATACGCTATTTTCAGGGTTTTTGTTTTATATTTACCGACATCTCCTTAAGGTAAGTACCGTGATTGTGTGGTTTACCTGCGGTTTATCTGACGTGTAATTTATAAGTTTTATGCCATTTTGTGGTTTATTTACGTTTCCTTCCCAGTGTTTATTTCTAGTGACGTCACCATAATGTTTGATGCACACGTCACCGTCTTCGGATCAGCTGAAGATTAGTCACCCTTTGCTTATTTCACTTAATTAAACACCTTAAGTTACCTGGGGATTTTAGGTTAGGTTAGGATAGCGTTAGAATAGTTTAGTTAGATTAGCTTAGGTTAGATACGATTATAGGCTGCGTTAGGTTAGGATAGACTAGGTTAGGTTAGGTTGACGTAAGGATAGGTTAAGTTAGGTTATGTTAGGACAGGTCGAGTTAGGTTAGCACTACGGTGGTTAATTTTAAGATGAATTAAATTGTCTTAAGTGAAGAACCTCAGATTGTGATACTTAAAGACCTACCTGTTGAAGTAATTAAAGACTTACCTGTTGCTTATGTAGCGAGCAACGGGAACCAGATCGGTGGAGGACTTATCCTCCTCCTCCTCCTGCCTCGTGTAGTACCTGTACATCTTACAAGCCTCGTACTACAGAACTATGTAGGATACGTCAATTACGCCATATATATCGAACGTATTGGTATTTTTATGTAGATATATGCCACATAATGCATATCTAGTATACGTGTAGTTTCTGTAGTTTACCACTTTAGATTAATGTTAGGTTTACATACATTCATTCATGGTATACATAAGGTTTGTGTGTATGTATTTTTAGAGCATTTTATGGTCCTTGAGTAACCGCAGCTGCAGTAGGTATTATGATTCGATTGCTGGACAAAACCCCACGTAACGTCGCCTAAACTGACTGAACAGGGTATAATGGAGCAGTGCGACGCAAAGAAACTTGAGACGTGGGATTTGGTTCAATTTAATAATGATAGGATTTTGTTTGGCGGGAAATTGCCAGAGAGGATTTAACCAGTTGAATTTCGGTCGCTTCGAGTGAGCCGAGAGTGTACGTTGGTAAATAAAACGCTGAAAAGGACTTAACATAAACCCAAAATAAATAAACCACTTGTCACCTGTTTCCAAGCACGTGTTAGTTATGATACATTAATAGGTAATTTAACCACGGTGGAGTAATTAGTGTCAACATTATAGCCTAGTAGCTCCGCGCCACGTTCCTATTTTTTTTTATTCGTACGATAATTTTTCCCCTTAAACTGCAACTTCAACCTCTTATAATAATAATAATAATAATAATAATAATAATAATAATAATAATAATAATAATTTTGATCATACGCCGCCATCTCTCCATCACCGTATAGCCTACCTCTATAAAGCGAGTCTGACGCCATCGAAAATCCTCAGTTATAGTTACAAAGGATTCAACTTACGCTATATACCTTACTGAGAATCTTGTAGTTACCAGACATGTGCTAAATATAACCTAAGAGATAAAGAAGGTACACAGAGGAGGTATTATTAGGGGGTGGTGTTAGAGAGCGAGTGAAGCGGACTTTGTTAATGGCTAGTGTACTTGAGCGGTGTTTAGAGAAAGATGAGTAGTGTGTTACCTTATTAAACCTAGACTTTGTGCAGCTGCTGTCCTCAGAAAATAGTTCATGGGCACAACTTTCACCAGGTCTTTTTTTCTGATATTATGAGAGGTCTGGTTTTGTTTAGAATAAGTTTGGTTAGTTTAGGTGGGATCTGCTTCCTCTCACTCCCGACTTCCACTACCGTCTCCTATACCACCACTACCGTCTCCTATACCACCACTACCGTCTCCTATACCACCACCACATCCGTCTCCTATACCACCACTACTGCTCCCTATACCACCACTACTGTCTCTATACCACCACCACCGTCTCCTATACCACCACCACATCCGTCTCCTATACCACCATCCGCTACCGTCTCCTATACCACCACTACCGTCTCCTATACCACCACTACCGTCTCCTATACCACCACCACTACTGTCTCTATACCACCACCAATACCGTCTCCTATACCACCACCACCACTACCGTCTCCTATACCACCACCACCACTACCGTCTCATACTACCACCACCACTACCGTCTCCTATACCACCACTACTGTCTCCCTATACCAACACCGCTACCGTCTCCGATACCACCACCGCTACCGTCTCCGATAACACCACTACCGTCTCCTATACCACCACCGCTACTGTCTCCTATACCACCATCACTACCGTCTCCGATACCACCATCGCTACCGTCTCCAACACCACCACTACCGTCTCCTATACCACCACCGCTACTGTCTCCTTATACCACCATCACTACCGTCTCCGTACCACCATCGCTACCGTCTCCGATACCACTACCGTCTCCTATACCACCACTACCGTCTCCTATACCACCACTACCGTCTCCTATACCACCACTACCGTCTCCTATACCTACTACCGTCTCCTATATACCACCACTACTACTGTCTCCTATACCACCACTGTCTCCTATACCACCACCACTACCGTCTCCTATACCACCACCACTACCGTCTCCTATACCACCACCACTACCGTCTCCTATACCACCACCACCACTACCGTCTCCTACCACCACCACTACCACACTCCCCTATACCACCATCACCGTCTCCTATACCACCATCACTACCGTCTCCTATACCACCACTACCGTCTCCTATACCACCACACTACCGTCTCCTATACCACCACTACTGTCTCCTATACCACCACTACTGTCTCCTATACCAACTACTACTGTCTCCTATACCACCACTACTGTTCCTATACCACCACTACCGTCTCCTATACCACCACCACACTGTCTCCTTTACCACCACTACCGTCTCTATACCACCCACTGCTCTGTCTCCTTACCACCACCGCTACCGTTCCTATACCACCACCGCTACTGTCTCCTATACCACCACCGCTACTGTCTCCTATACCACCACCGCTACTGTCTCCTATACCACCACCGCTACTGTCTCCTATACCACCACCGCTACCGTCTCCTATACCACACTCACATCCGTCTCCTATACCACCACCACCGTCTCCTATACCACCACCACCGTCTCCTATACCACCACCGCTACTGTCTCCTATACCACCACCAGCTACTGTCTCCTATACCACCACCACTACCGTCTCCTATACCACCACCACTACTGTCTCCTATACCACCACTACCGTCTCCTATACCACCACTACATCCGTCTCCTATACCTCCACTACCGTCTCATACCGCCACCATTATTGCCCCTACTACCACTACTACCGTCTCCTATACCACCACCATTACTGTCTCCTATACCACCTCCACTACCGTCTCATACGCCACCATTACTGTCTCCTACCACCACTACTACCGTCTCATACCGCCACCATTACTGTCTCCTACCACCACCACTACTGTCTCCATACCGCCACCATTACGGTCTCCTACTACCACTACTACCGTCTCCTATACCACCACCATTACTGTCTCCTATACCACCTACTACCGTCTCATACCGCCACCATTACTGCCTCCTACCACCACTACTACCGTCTCCATACCGCCACCATTACGGTCTCCTACCACCACTACTACCGTCTCATACCGCCACCATTACTGTTCCTACTACCACTACTACTGTCTCCTATACCGCCACCATTACTGTCCCTATACCACCCTCCACTACCGTCTCATACCGCCACCACATGGTCTCCTACCACCACTACTACCGTCTCCTATACCACCACCATTACTGTCTCCTATACCACCCCACTACCGTCTCATACCGCCACCATTACTGTCTCCCTACCACCACTACTACCGTCTCCTACCACCACCACTACCGTCTCATACCGCCACCATTACTGCTCTCCTACCACCACTACCTACTCGTCTCCTACCACCCCCACTACTGTCTCCATACCGCCACCATTACGGTCTCCTACCACCACTACTACCGTCTCCATACTCGCCACATTACTGTTCCTACCACCACTACTACCGTCTCCTATACCACCTCCACTATCGTCCCATACCGCCACCATTACTGTCTCCCACTACTACTGTCTCCCTACCACCACCACTACCGTCTCCTACCACCACCACTACCGTCTCCTACCACCACTACTGTCTCCTATACCACCTCCACTACCGTCTCATACCGCCACCATTACTGTCTCCCCTACTACTGTCTCCTACCACCACCACTACCGTCTCCTAACACCACCACTACCGTCTCCTATACCACCGCTACCGTCTCCTATACCACCACTACCGTCTCCTACCACCACCACTACCGTCTCCTAACACCACATCACCTTAGAGATGTGAATTACGTCTCTCAGGCTTCTCCGCCTCTTGTGGTCTGTAGTCCCTCTTCCCCTTTGTTCTAGGCGTCGTCTCTCCAGTTTTTATCATTTGCTTTGATACTTTGACGGAGCTTGTGTGTGTGTGTGTGGGGGATGACTGTGTGCGTGTATGTGTACTGTGTATGTGTGTGTATGTTTGTTTGTATACGTTTTTTGCGTGTACTTTAGGTTTAAATGAGAGAGAGGTTGTCCGCCCAGTGAAATTACATC